TCTGGTGCATGTGAAGAATTGACAATAAAGCTGACTTTGACTTTGACTTGATACAAATAAAATTGAATGAAATTGAATTGATTTTGAGCAGTCGATCAGATAGGTTGAAGACAAATACTAGTTTGGTTTATGATCTAAACTCTTTCTACAGAACAACTATGTGCGCTAAGTGCGTCAAAGTTGAAGCAGGAAGTGGGTCTGTAAACTTGGGTGATCCTTTTACTGCCTACCTATGTTTTCTCTTCCAAATAAATGATAATTTATTAGAAATTTAAATAATAACCTGCAACTTTGTTTTCAACCTATCGTGTTGTGAAAGTGGCAAGTGCCAGTACTTCCTCGTAGGATGCTGATTAACATTTTGGTTGGTCCACAACTGCATAGATTAAAGCCTGTCAAAATGGATCTTGTGTTTTTGTGATCCAACTGCCTCGTAAGATTAACTTCTTTTGTGGGGAATGGTTACTCTTCCTGAAACCTGATTTTTCAATGTGAGACTTAGACACCCCAAAGAGAGTTAACGACAGAAGGACAGAGACAGAGACAAAGGTGCACAGCAACAACAGTAGCAACAACTACACTAATAGTAGTGACTGATGATGATGATGAACATGAAGAAAATCTAAATATATTGTTATTATTGTTCAAATTTGGCTCAAAAAGAGTCATGTCATCGACCATAATTTTGTTATTCTTTAGTATTGGTTCAGGGCCCTGTACCATTTTAAAAGTATAATTTTAGCACCAGTATAAGAAAAACGTGCGCAAGCCCAACCCATGGAAACAGTTTTGGGTCGAGCTTGACCCGAATGACTGCTTAAAATAAAAAAATAATACTACAGAGTGAACATTTCATACCATTGCAACCCTAACCTTCATGCCACCGCCGACCCCCTTTCATCCCCCCATCCCCTCCAAGACCCTACATTTTATTACAATAAAATAATCTGTATACTATGCCATGGTCTTTGATAGTGAAGTGACGACAGATATCAGCTGTGTGTGTGGACAAGGCATCAAAAGCTGAAGCTCACACAACACTGCTGCAACAAACTGCAAGGACAAAAAGATCTTCCATCAGGGGAATAATTGAGAAATGTCCAGCCCAGATTAGTATCTTATGCCTACATTTATGACTACAGAAATACACGTTAATTGTCCAATTGTTACTGTATTATTGTAAATCAACATTCACTTATCATCATTCTGTCACAAAATGTAATAGATACACCATGCCTGCATGCATGGTGGGCCACTTCACTCATTAATCCACTGGGAGATTCAGACATGATCATTCCTGGGCAACAGCCAATTCTAAGTCAACAACATATCATAATCATATCTGGCAAAAAAAAGGAGTCCAAATAATCTAGCCTTAGACTGCTGCTGAGTTATGGTGCAATCATGTGATGATGAGAGGCTGTGAAATCTGAGATGTAAGGGTTGCATGGATGAGCTCTGTTGCAGGAAAATTAAACCCACAGCAAACACAGGTGAAAGTGGTGAAGTTGACATCTGCGTGCCTTAGAAATTGCTCTGTTCAGCTGCCAAGTGTTGATCTACTGATGTTATGCTTCAGTTTTACAGCTGGGACAGGGTAACGATTATACAGCTGTCAAGGAGATACAGCGAGTGATATTTTGATACAGTGAAGCCATGGTAATTTGTCAACCCAGATTTTGCCATGATTTGAGATCAATAGATAATAGATAATAAGGAAATAATAATTTCATTGATTGTCTTCTAAAATGTTCATGAAAACTATTACTGCGCAGTGCTCTCTTTGGTCCCAGGAGAACTGACGGTCAATGCAAACAGTCCTCATGTTGTACTATTGTATTTCCCCACCCTGGTATTAAACAGACCCTGCTGCAGCTTCCCCTAAAATTATAACATGATTGATGCTCACAGGCCAGCAGGCTACCCTGAACACCCACCATGCTGTATAACAGAGTTAAGGGGCTTAAAATCCAGAAGGAGCGATCATTAATAAACCTGTTTCAATCATTATTGATTATTTAATGCAGCTGAGAGGCCTGATTTTTATATATAATAACAATAATAATAATAATAACACTGACTTCTGGCAGAGGACTGGCTATAGAAAGTTAGTTTGGAAAACTTGCCTGAATGATTATTGGACTTTGATGTACATAGTAATGGTGCCTACTCTTAATGCTACTAATTAACCTAATGATTACGATGTGATATGACTGCAGTGATTGTTAACAAATGCCACAAAATGTGTTATGCTGGGTTCAGACACAATATGCTGCCACACTATTGTGTTAGATGAAAGCAACATTATGTAACTTTTCTACCTTAAAATAACAATTTAAGATACATATTTATGCTACACAGTTTTAATAGGGTCAATTGTGCCCCTGTATACCTAATTCTTGCAACTTTTGTGTCTGGGTCAGAATAAGTGCAAAACGCTTTACGGCAGGTCACACACCACCAACTATGTCAATGATTTTGAAAACTGAATCATATTTTATGGAAAAAATGTTTTCTGTGATTTACAGTTTCCTGATGGACAGTAAAGTAACTGCTGCAAAAATGTAGCTGCTGTTAGCTTAGCTCAGAGCGGGAGTGTTTACACTGGTAGCACAAGAGATTTGGATTTTAATGACAAAATAACGTTAACAATTTTTATAGTGAATGGAATAACATCATTAATTTGGATTAGCAGCAGAAACTAAACTGTAGCAGACACTATAAACATGTCTGACAGCTCACAGACACGTATGATTTACGTTGGCAACAGTAGGGCATACAATCTGCCCTTCATTACCGTCACATCATATTTAACCATAAGATGTGCAAAAATGGACACGCCTCTTAAACAAAGTGCAATTAATGAGGTGTTTGACAATTACACCATAATGCTGATATACAGCCTGATAAGACTGTTACAGTACAGGTTAAAGACAGATGAAAAGCATCAGTGTTCGTGTACATTGATGACGTTGTCCCAAGCCCATTGACTCTTTCACCTCTGAGCAGCAGCTACCATGGCTTAATAGTTGGAATATAGACTGACACCTACAGAAACCTAAATTTCATTTCCAGAAAATCCAAAGGAATACATATGTCACAGAACTGCCCACATTGTTTAGCTGTGGGCAGTCTCTGTAAGACCCCAAACATGGTCCTTGTAAGAATGGAAGGGCAAAAGACAATTCCTGGCCCAGTTGCATCAAGCAGCAGAGAGCTGATCGCACTGGCAGGAAGTCAGATACAGAATAGCACAGAATGCAGAACAACGCATGGAATAAATTTAGCGCCGCTCGAAGCGCTTGCGTTTGCAGACTTGTGTAAACCATGTTTGGTGCCTAAGTACTGAGCTGGAGCTGGGAGGAGGTAGTTAGCTTAACTTAGCATAAAGACTGACAGAAGAGGAAACCAACTAGCCTGGCTCAAAAATATGCCTTCCAACTAATATACATATTTGTTTAATCTACATAAACAGAAATATAAAATGACAGCTATAGTACTGGTTGTCAGATCCCAATGAAGGGCACAGCTTTTGGTTTTGGCCTCTGTATAAGCATTTAAGTGCTAAACCTGGCAACCTCTGTGTGATGACAAGACTCCAGGAAACTGTGTCACTTTATCAAGAAGTTCCAGCCTTGTTCTTAGTTCCAGCACGTAGCTCCCCCTAAAATATTTCTACATCTCTGTTTTTGTATGGACTAAACAAATGAGACGAAACATACACACACATTAATGTGCCTTAAAGGTGTTGGTAAGAGGTAGGAGATATTTTGAACTGACTGTACACACTGATAGCAGCTTATAAAACCAAATGACAAGTATTTATCTTACCTTCCACTGTGGGTGCAGCTCCACTTTGAGCTTCAGCCAGACCATCTGTATCCACTGACAGACCTGGATCAGCTGCAGGAAAACCCATAGAGAGGATACAAGAGTTAAAACTAAAGCCAAAATAAAACAAGACAAGTCGAAGTATCCTTAAGCAAGATACTGAACCCCGAATTGCTCCCGATGGCGTGCATCGGTGTGTGAATGATCGTGTGAAAGATGAATGGCACGTAGTGTAAAAGCCCTTTGAGTGGTCAACACTAGAAAGGCTCTATACAAGTACAGCATTTACCATTTACCAAGTCTGACTTCGTGGTGGTGCCTCGTGTTGCACATAAGGAACTACATGAGGAACTATTTATAAAGGCATGGTAGTAGTGGAGGTAAAAAGTTTGTCCTGAGGGTTGAAAAAGCCATTGGGCTATCCTTTTACTGATAGATTAGTATTGGCTTTAAGTTTTCCCACAGAGAGACATGAGACAATTGTGGCATTTTTTCCCCCTGCTGCCGGTAACAATTGTTTCGAAAATGGGTTCATTTCATTACTCGATATCATTAAGTGACTTTCCTGCAGAGTGCAAGCTGCAGTCAAATAGCAGCTAGTTGGTGGACATGAGGCAAACCACACTACAATGAATCAGAGTTTGGAAAACGTGTAGAAAAAACCTTTTGTTTCTAAGAAGCATTTTGCTTTGATCAACCTTGATACAGTATCTTTGCTTGAAAATTCCTATCATATCATGTTCTATTTACAAATATAAGATTGATGAATTGTGTATTAGTCATACCCATTACAGGGTGCTTGAAAAAGCCATTTGTGTCCATTAATATCAAGAAGTTCCATTCTCTTTGGACTCAGTAAACGACAGACTCCATAACGTTTCGTGGCATTCTCTCAATTAGAAAATGACTGTATTGTGTTAAGTCCGCAGTTCGGCCTGACACACAAAGTCCAAAATGAATGTAAGTGGCGGGGTGGGATGGACAGTTAAACGAATTTCTACCCAGGAGACTAAATGTCGCCAAGTAAAAGCAAGCCACTAAAGCCTTACTTCCTTGATGAAAAATTTATTTTTAATAAGATTTAAGATGGAGTCTAACTTGATTAATAGCTGAGTGTCATTCACGTCACTGAATGTAATGTGGTGTTTTACATTGATGTTCTTTTTGATTGTAGAATGTATGCTCTTTCCTTTCTATGCATTGATATATCTGCAACCATACTGCACGCTAGTTGTGATTTTGAGCAGACTGC